TAGGGTGCCTGAGTCCTGTCTGGTTGGAGTGATGGCAACTGCGTTCCGTGTCGGGGCAATACGGGTGTGGAAGGTGAGCCAATATCATTGGCTGAATTGTCCTTTGCAACAGTGTGACCATAATCCGAGGTCGCTGGGTCAAAATGAAAAGCGGGAAAAAGAGGAAGTGGTTGGTAAGTGGGCGAGTAAGGATGACTGGGAAGCGGAATGCTATCTAGGAAAGTGGTGAAGTCATCCCCATCATGAGAAATAGACTGGCCATAGCTTGCGAAGGGTTCGGTAAACCCAGGAGCTTCAGAAGGAGCTGCTGCCGCCGTTTGGGAGTTTGCGACAGTATGCCCGGGAACCGTGTCCGCTAATGCCACTGGAAAAGATGCCGGAGAAGCAGTAGTTATCGGCCGACCCGCCCGAGGAGATGGCGAAACCGGACGACCAGCCACTGCTGATGCTAGTACATTAAGTCCGTCGAAAACTTGGGGAGAAGCAGGCTGCGGTGAGCTTGTTGGTACAGCATCCAGGGCCGGACTGCTGTGAGCCAGGCGTTCGTGACGCGCCAACAGGTCCCTACTGGAGTATTAGCGAGAGTTTCAACTCAAAGTCGAAGAAATTTGGTAACTCACTTGCGAGTAAATGACTTGGGGCATCTGGTGCATATGTACGGCTTCTCTTTTGTATCTGTGCCTCGGGGTCAATTGATTCGTAATCACAGATCATGGAGTGACACAAGAGGGTCTGTACGTGAGCGGTCATGACGCTGAAGATGCTCTAGGCGAGCAAATGTCCTGGAGCATCGCTGACATTGGTATGGTTTGGTAGGAGAGCCCATCACAGGGAGGAGTGGGGAGCAGTATTGCGCGCAAGATTGAGAGTAGACTACAAGATTTCATCGTGGAGAAGTTGAAGAGTCCAGAACACGCTGTGTTGTGGAACTGCAGCCGCCAGGCAGTGCCGGCGCCGCCACGCCGCACAAGGGAAAGTCCCTTAGGCCACGGGCCAATCGGGGAAAACGACCGACCAGACAATTAGTCATCATGGATCTGCCTCTTATCTTCCCCGCGTTTTTGTTTCCTGCCAGATCTAAACACCTTCTCACGTTTCTTGACCTCATGAATTCTTCCCTCTCTTAGGCCAGACTGTAGGGTCTACCCCACAGTATGTAGGGAGACTGTCACAGCTAGTTCTATGCGAAACGCGAGTGGCAGTGCTGAGGCCGACTTCCCTGACATGGACTGGCAATCGTCTTGATTACTGCCTATAGTACGGAGTCCATACCTTTCACAACAGAGTTTCATTCGGTATACCTCTTAGCATACATCAGGATCTTTCAGGCTCTGATGACCTTCTAGAGCCTTTTTGACTTCCTGCATGCTATTTTGCCGTCGGTGAATCGCTCCACCCATGAAGTTCCAGATCAGTCTGAAGCCTACATCCTGCCTCAGGCAGTAAATTTAAACAGGTCCAACATGCTACAAATCCCCTTATTACATTGCTCTGAGCTCATCTGGAGCGAATGATATGTATTTACCAAGGTATTAAACCTGAGCCTGGCCCCACAAAGGCCTACTGAAGCCGAGGAGTCCTTGGAATCGAAATGCGTCATCGACTCCGATAAGGTTACATTTCCCTCGCGCCTTCGAACCGGACGGCTGCCAGCAAGGCTTTGGTGCGTATGACGTTTGCCGTGTTGGTAAAGCGTAAAACGTTGTCTCGCACTCCTAGACAGTCCTATGCATTTACGTCTCACTTTTGAGTCTCTATGCAGGATAATCATGTCTCGTGAGACAATCCCTTTATTATGCTGTTCTTTCAGCCACCAGACGTTCTCACCGAGGTTTCCACTTAGCATACCCGGTCTTGCAAAATTGATGAGATGACTGCTACTTTAAAAGTGACTTGTGCTTTGCGCAGGGAGTTGACTCCCTGATTGTTCAAGCACTGTCTGGTGAATCCTCACGCCATAACAGGAGTTCTATGACCTCAACTGGCTGATACTCACGCGATAAACCCAAAGTACAGATTAGCAGTCACCATGTCGGAAAAGAGATCAAGTAGCGAGTCGAGTGGTTCCTCCTCCCCCATCAGCTATCATAGCGTGCAGCATCAAGATGAAACTCACTCGGACCCGGGAGATCGGCGCCATACAAGCTCAGACAGCGACAGTTCCCCGGGCACCTCCCCGGGCAGCCCGCATTTTACGCAGGTTCATCGCGTTCACTTCGGGGCAGATAGAACGTTCTCATACGGAGGCTGGCAGCCCGGAGTCGGCCCCCTAAGTCAGCCATCGTCTCATCTACGGCGTCGCTCGTCAGCGCATCCATCCATAGACATCACAGAAGCACCTAGGAGACGGGATACGCGGGCTGCAGCTGGTTATAGATGGGAACCGGAGGACCTTGAGGGATCACCATCTCGTGAATCCAACACAGCAGAAAAGAGGTCAAAAAAGACACGCCTCAGAGCTTTTCGGGATACAGTCAAACAGAAGACTGCCCAATGGGCTGCTCGTCTGGGTCGTCCAACAGAAGGCGAGGATGACCTGCAACCAATCGACTATCGTCGTCGCAGCACGGATGTGCGAATTAATCAAGAGGCAGAGGTCAAGGATCAGATTACGTGCAGCTCGGAGGCGCACCGCATTATCCGGGGCTTGACACACGACGAACCCGGGCGTCGCCGAAGTACCCGTAGCGATTCAGCCTTGCATCATGCAATCGATATGCCCCCGGATGATACAGACGAACTTGTTGGAGCAACAGGCGCAGAGAGCCGGCCGACCGGAGGGATATTGTCTCACCTACTACGCCTCAGCGGGGGTCTGGATCAGGTCCAAAAATCGACCCGGGGACTTAACATGCCCTCTGGGATGTGGACTCCATTCGGTGGAAGTACCCCAGGGGCGACCACTCCTCGCAAGGGAAAGCCGCGATGGTATAAGAAGCCGCCCAACATGTCCACATCCACCTTGGTTGGGGCTTCCAGTCATAGTGGCGCCAGCACGCCCATTTCGAACCAGCTTCTCAGTGTGGCCTCAAGGCGACGCGACAAGCATTCTCGACGTCGCAGCTTCAGACTGGAAGATGAGATCCAGGTGACTCTCCGCATCGCTGAGATCATTGCACGACAGCGTTACATCATGCAGCTGTGCAAGGCGCTCATGATGTTCGGTGCACCTACTCATCGCTTGGAAGAATACATGCTGATGACCTCCAAAGTGCTCGAGATTGAGAGCCAGTACCTGTACGTCCCGGGATGCATGATCATGGCCTTCGACGATCCAAGCACTCGAACGACGGAAGTGAAGCTCGTTCGCGTTGTACAAGGAGTGAACCTAGGACGACTCTCTGACACCCACAACGTTTATAAAAACGTCATCCACGACGTGATTGGCATTGAAGAGGCCACCGGAGAATTGGAGGAGCTCATGACCAAGAAGCCGCGGTTCAACAAATGGATCATCGTTTTTGTGTATGGGCTCGCCACGGCCATGGTGGGACCATTTGCATTCAGCGCCCGACCCATCGATATGCCCATCATCTTCTTCAACGGGTGCCTCCTCGGAGTCATGCAACATGTGATAGCGCCTCGCTCGGTCCTCTACAACAATGTCTTCGAAGTGACGGCAGCAGTGCTTACCTCCTTCCTCGCCCGAGCTTTCGGTAGCATTCATCGCCCCCACGGCTCCGGCCGGCTCTTCTGCTTCTCGGCCATCGCGCAATCCTCCATTGCGCTCATCCTTCCCGGCTACACCGTCCTCTGCAGCAGTCTCGAGCTTCAATCCCACCAGATCGTCGCCGGGTCCATCCGGATGGTCTACGCAATTATCTACTCCCTCTTCCTCGGCTACGGCGTCACCGTCGGCACCACAATCTACGGATTAATCGACAAGACGGCCACCTCCAGCCTCAGCTGTCCGTCAGCCGGCGCTTTCAAGAACCCGTATCTCCAGCGCTTCCCCTTCGTCGCGCTCTTCTCCTTGTGCCTCCTCGTGGTCAACCAGGGCAAGTGGAAACAAGCCCCCGTGATGACCACCATTTCTATGGCCGGCTACGTCACCAATTACTTCGTCTCCGCGCGCCTGGGCAACAACTCGCAGGTCGCCAACACGGTCGGCGCGTTTGTCGTCGGCGTCATCGGAAATCTCTACAGCCGCCTCTGGCACGGCCACGCCGCGGCCGCCGTCCTCCCGGCCATCTTCGTGCTGGTCCCCTCCGGCCTCGCCGCAACCGGCAGCCTGATCGCCGGCGTCGACACGGCCGACCAGATCCGCTCGAACGTCACCAAGAACCACACCACCACGTCGACGTCGCAGAGCTCCGAGTCCTCGAATATATTGGGGTTCGGGATGATCCAGGTCGCGATCGGCATCACGGTCGGGTTGTTTGTGGCTGCGTTGGTGGTTTATCCGTTTGGGAAGCGGCGCAGCGGGCTGTTTAGCTTTTAGGGAGGAGCTTCGGGTAGTTCTAGTGGCGGCACTGGTTGCTGTCTGTTTTTAGCGTGCATTAAAGACTGGGCGAGCCTTAGCGGGATGGTTGTTTCCCGCGAGAATGCTATGAACGTTTTGATGTACTGTACTATCGAGTCGTGAGCTTACCTTGGTGAATATCGGACATATCCATGAGACCCATCGAATTGGAAGTACTGGGAAAGCCAAAGAGAGAGAAGTGATAACACCTATCCCAATTGGTATCCCAAATAGGACTACATCCTGCACCACAAAGCATAGCATACTTGGGCCCCCCTCTCAAGAGGAATACAGGAGGTCGAGGTCAGATTAGACTACGTATAGTACACCTCCAAGTCAGGGCTGATGACATGCCCGAGAACTCCAAGCAATCCTGCTATGTATGAGTAGTAGCCAGTAGCACACCACCGAATCCCTGGATCTACAACCCCTCCCGCTTCCCCACGAAAATTTAGTTAATCAAGTAGAGGAAGACCTTAGTATCGATCAAGATACACATTATAAGTCAATCTATATAAGAGGAAACGGAATCAAGTTTCGCTCATGCTCATGCTCATGCTCATGCTCATGCCAATGCCAATGCTCATGCCAACGCTCAAGCCCAAGCCCAAGCACATCGACCAAGACATCCATTTCACCGAAAGAAAGTAAGTGAACCGGCACCCTTCCTTCCTCCCTTCCTCCCTCGACTTGACTCAAGCTAGTTCGAGATGGATAGATCATTAACTAAAAGTCCCAGACTTCACGATTCACGGTCTGAGTTCAAATCTAGCCAAGCCCTGCATCGCATCGCATCACACCGCATTATGTCATCATCGCTCATGAACCAGGCGCAGGCGCTCATGGGAACACAATGCACACGATTATATATGCTATGCTCAACAAGCACAAAAACACGATCGCTTCCGCTGATTTCTATACAATTGAACACGCGGAAAGTTGAAAACGCCCAGTCTATGGGCAATATTGATGCATGTTCCGATTTTTTTCCCAATGCCGAAAAGAAGCAGAACGGGGGGGAAGGAAAGGTCAATCGTTCTTCCAGATCGTGTACCCCACCATCTCAAGGAGATACCGTTCTCGATTGATCATGACCTGCTGGGCTTCGGTCCGTAGGAAGACTTGACACATTTCCAGCATGCGGGGTCGATCTTCCACGTCGCTCAGATGGCGGAGGTCGGCCAGGGTGACCGTGATCTCCGAGAAGGATGGGTTGGTGGCTAACCGGAAGACGCGGTGACGGAAGTCCTTGGGGACGGCGGGGTTGGTGGCGAGCCAGTCGCAGAGGCAGTCGAAAAGGTGGTTATTGACGATGAAGAGCAAGAGGGAGTCGAGGGAGGTCCAGTCTACGTCTTCCAGGACGAGGGTGGAGGGAAGAATGGGCATCAGGGCGGTTTGGAGGCCGATTACGGAGGTGAGGGCGTCGAGGAGCAGGCGGTCGTCTTCCTTTTCCGCGTCTTCGGGGTGGATGTTGGGAGTGTCTTGTTCGATTTTGTGGTGGTGGGCGACCGGGATTGTGGGTTTCGGGTAACCCAGTTGCGGACTGCTGCTGTTGCTGTTGTTGCTGCTGCTGGCTGGGCTGTAGGGAGACTCGGGGACTAAGATGCCCCGGTGGAGGGGGGAGTCGGGTGCCACGATGGGACGGTCGTAGCCGAGCTGACCGCGCCAGAAGCGGTTGCAGGCAACCTCCAACAGCATGCATGGGATGAGGACAACGTAGCCCTCCCAGAGACGGGAGGTCATCATGGAGGCGCCGCCGGCGATGAGGCCGGTCCACCCGGATGCGACGGCGTGCCACTTGAAGCATTGGAAGCGACGCTGGAGTCGGTCGCGGAACGGGGCGAGCATGGCTCCCGCTCGGGAGCACGCGCGGTCGTAGCTGTGAAAGCGCCAGGCCAGATAGGCCGACCAGATGGCATTGATGATGCCGTAGATGGCCGCGAAGGAGTTGCCGACGAATCCTGAGAGCAGGTTGCTGATGAAGTATACGTGTCGGTCGGAGCCCCAGATGGCCATGATGGTGCCCGTGCCGACCAGAAGACCGCCGATCCCCAAAAATACGTCCATGACGATGCGATCGACCAGTTCGGTGCCCAGTTCGCGGTGGCTGACCCCCAGACGGCGGTCGATGAAACGGAGTGTGGTGGCATCCGGTGCGGGGCATTCGAGGTGCTGGGCCTGCAGGGATTTGAGGTACTTGCGCTCTCGTTGAAGAATCCGGACGTTCTGCCAGCTCAGCACACTATCGCGGACGGCAAATCCGCTGATCAATAGTGCTAGAGGACCTCCGATCGCCATGAAGATAATGGCGTATAAAGGGACGGGGACATCGTTCCACACATTGGCGGCAAAGTCACCCGCGTTGGCGAACTCCAGAAACCCCACGCTAGCCAGTAGACTGTTGCGGTACCACAATGGATTTATAACGTGAAGTTTTCGTCGCTGCCGTAATAAAGTGACCGATGCTGGAGGTAGAGAGCCCGTCTCATGCTCTTCGTGATGCAGGACCTTATCGGAGACGATCGGGGGGAGGGTGTCCTGCGAGGGGCGCATCGGGGGCAGCGAAACCTGAGGAGACGGAGCCCCTCCAACCGGCGGTGGAGGAACAGCCCTGGAGAGAGAGGGAGAGAGAAAGGAGGGAAGGGAAAGGAGAGAGAGAGGACGCCAGGGATGACATATAGGGGAGGGGAGGGGAATTAGGGAGATGTGGGCGGTCGGAGACTGACGCTGCTGGATGAGAAAGAGGATGAAGACGAGAGAGAAGTTGGAACTTGGCAGAGAAGCTGGACAGTGGAAAGAGAGACGCGCAACAAACCAGCGGGCAAGAATGGAGCCCGGAATGTCGGTCGGCCAGCGGATTGGCTGGTCGCCTGGGAGTATCCGCACTTGGCATGCCTTATAGGGCTGACGCTTGTTCAACCCACGAGCACCAAAAACTCAATGCTGTTTACCTTTCATCAGAATTCATACTCTTTGGATCAGATAATCCAGCTCAATGGCCTTGTCACCCGAGAAATATCGCAGGGGTCCCAGGAGTGGTGGTTCGAAATCAGGTCCGATGGAGAGGAGTAAAGTCAGCTTGGAAAGGGAAGACCCATGCAGATTGCATGCAGCCTGCCACTCACTTCAAAGGTGGCCATGCACAGGAAAGTAGTAGGTACTCCCCCTAACATACTTTCTCTACGCTACAAAGTTAAGACTCATTCGACCGAAAACAAAGAGGGAATTCATCATTTACAACGAGTGGTTTAACAAATACAGCATAACGGCCTTATGCTCCCTTGGCCACCTTGGTCGGCCCAGTCCTCGACCCGTCCATAGTGGTGTTTAATGCCTTGATCATGCGTACACCAGCATCAGCCGCCTCCTGAGGTGCCCACGACCAGAATTGGCGTCCATGGTGCAGACCATCATGTCCTGGCTGCAAAAGCCCCTCCTTACTGGTACTCACATCGGTACCAGTGGTGTACACACTGACCTTGTCCTCAAAACGGACCCGCGGCTTGCCCCGCGGGGAAACATTGCCTGACGTGGCCTCGAGGTAGCGCTTGCGCATGCCGTACCGCTTGGCCTCTGCCCGTTTGAGGGTTACCGAGCTAATCCTTTCCATGCCGGTCTGAACCACAAACCGGACGCCAAGATACGCCCACTCAGCCAGAAGCAGAGTCAGCAGGAAGGAGGAGAATTGCACCCCCTCCATGCTATTACGATAAAGATAAACGACTGCGGCCGTAGAAAGAGTTCCGAGCCAGGCAAGCACTTCCAGTCCCTGCAGAGACGGTCCGATCGAGTCCGCCCGAATCGGCGGGGGTCGCTGGCACTCTAAACTGAGCTTGAAGAAGTCGCCTCGCAGCTCTAGCCAGTTGTTGGCCAAAAACCCGAGCGGCACTAAGGGCCAGGCCACTCCAAAAAGGGCCAGATATCCAAACTGTACACACATCTCCAAAGTATCGTCATGGACGTTGTATTCGTCCGCTTCCACCTCATCGCGTACACGCGCAAGGAATGCTGCCTCTTCGGGTGCATCGACAAGTAACAAATCAGTCCGCTGGGAATGGCGACGAGGCATGCGAGCGGCATCGCGACCGTCGCGATAGGTGCGCCACTTGTGCATCAGCGTCTGCTTGACGTAGGGGAGCACAATCTCCTCGCCAAAGTTGAGTAGTTGGGCGGTCGCAGACAAGTAGATCACCTCTTGCTGAAGACGGGCCGGATCAATGTGAATCTCCTTGGCCAGATTGGCAGACATGAGGCCATAAGTGCGGAAGACGTCCAGATAAGGGACCAGCTTCGTGCCGAATGGCACGTACACAAATGCAGTCAGCAAGGTAGGCAGGAAGGCGGTGATGAAGTGCATGACAAAGGTCTTGGAAGTCTGGGCGACGTCGTACTGGTCCTGCGTGCGGTAATTTTCGTAGTCGGTCAACTGCTTGGCGAACTCGGTGAGCGTATTGGTGATCCACGGCAGCGAGAGGGAGAACAAGATGGTTGGAAGAAACTCCAGGTAGCCCTTAAAGGGACCGGTATATATCTCGGACACCAATACCTCGGAAGCGAATGACAAGATAATCAAAGAGCCCAAGGCTAGAGCAGCTACGGTCGCAAAGGGAATAAGCAGCAACTGCCTAAGGAACTGCTTGTGCGTCGAAAACACCTTCGTTGTCTCCCCTGTAACGGGGTTTTGGACTTCCTTATCCCACACCCATTCCGGTCGGTTGACCTTGAGGATTCCAACATCGCGAACATTCCACCGCAGGCTTAAATCAATCTCGCGAGTCTTCCAGTACTCGACGAAGATAATACACCAGAGGCAGTTGACGAGAGCGCAAGTGATGGAATAGGGGCCGAGATAGAACCAGCAGAACACGCCCCAAACGGCGGGGAAGACGAGAAAAGTGGAATAGCAGTGGATGAAGGCAAAATAGAAGGCGACCTAGATTGCTCAATGCATAGGATCAGTGTCTATCATGCGAGAGCGTGGGGGCAGTCCAAGTCCAAGGAGGGGTGGAAAACAGAGTGCTTACCTTTTCACCGAACAGCGCGCGGATGGCGTCGAGATCTTCGGCAGTAATATTGATTGTCTTGCTCCATTTGCGCAAGAGTTCGGCATTTGCGGCGCGGTCTTGGAGAGGGATGGCTGCCTGGATATTCTTCCACTGGCCTATTTTGGGGGTGATTCCCGCCCCTCCCAAGTGTTTCTGCCAAGTCACCGCATGGTAGACCGACCGGAGGGCTTCCGCGGCAGTCTCGGACTCAACCACCGTGTGATCGTCGCCTGCAGGGAACTCATGGATAATGCCGTGTAACCAATCCTTGACTCTGTGCGATTGTTAGAACTAGGGACGCGAGGGTGGATGATCCGAAGTACCGTACCGAGATTTGTAGACCATGTTCCCCAAGAGATCCGGGGGAACGCGAATGAAGACCAGCAGGGAGGGTCCGTAACCATGGCGAACCTGGACCTGCAGATGCGCTTCCTCCAAGTCGTGGATTAGATTTCGAAATTCGGAGATAGCCTGCGAGATTTCTGCGCCGAGGAGGTGGCTGTGAGCTAACGTGTTGTCAATCATGGTTTTGGTTGAGGTACCCTCCTTACCGAGATCTTCGAATGAATAGTGGATGACCCAATCGACGCCGAAATTATCCAGCTCGGCATGGTCGACGGGCTCATGACCAGCAAAGAGGCCCATCTCGAGTTGATCGGAGGGAGTTGAAGGTCGTAACAGAGAGAAACGGACGAAGGGAAGATAAGAGGTCAAAGGAAGGGATGATGATATCGAGATTCGAAAGGATATCGATGGTGGGCGGGGGAGTCAAAGTAGCGAGTGGGATAGCCTCATCTCCGCGCGGCGGTGGGGGAGGCTCACGGATGCATCCACACACCGTGTGTTTGTGGAAAGAAAGGGGGGTAACCGAAGGAAAAGGCGAGTTAAAATTGGAAATGGGGAAGCGAAGGGATTGGGGAAGGGGGAGGGGGAGGAAGTGTGTAAGGAGAAAAGAACTAAAGAGACTAAGAAGAATATGAATTGGGGTGGTGGGTAGTCTTGGGATATTTAGCACTAAACCACGACGGTGGATTAATAAGAGATTTGAACAGGACAGAGTTGAAAGATGATGAGGAGTGAGACTCTGACTTGATAATGTGACTTGATGATAAAAATAATAATAATACGTAGTTAGTGTTGCCAAACTGCCAAGGTCAGCCAGTACTAGCCTCAGCCCTACAAGGCAATGTGGCCAATGGTTCTGCCCCTGCCACTTTCCTCAGCGCTACCTGTACACAGGGCTGCACTCTTCTACGGGTGTCCGAAATAGCCAGCCAAGGCTTCATTCCTTATCTAGTCAATTGACCCACCAAGATAATTCTGCATAGATTTTGTCTTTGCTCCACGCTTCGACTTTATCTGGAATCGACGCATTGCGACCGTAAGGAATGAGTGGCTCAGTTCAACGTTCTGGAAGCAATTCCTGCTGCCTGAGCCAAACCGCCGTAATTCGGTACTGCAGTACTACTGGGTAAACTTTACCTCCTTGCGTGTTCCCGAAACAGAATTTATGGAGCCACTAGACCAAAAATGGACAAGAAAGTGTGGCGCTACATGGGACAATAGCTTGTGCAGCCAATGGAAATGTCATGTGGTATTGATAATGCAGCCACCTTGCAGGCACCCATTATTACGATACAGAGTAATTACCGTTGCGGTCGTCCAATTTCCTGACTTTGTTTAGTTCTTCCAACTTGTCAATCATCCCATCTCTGGAAACTTCCTTCCACTCCGACCGGGGTCCGCGGATCAGTCACTGTACTCATCCCAACCTGAACCTCTGGGTGGTTCAACAGGCATATTCATTTCCAATCAATCTCGAACCCTGCAACTGCAAATCATCCAGCAAGCTTTTTCTTCTTACGCCGGATGGGCCTCCCGGGCAACCTTGAGAACTTGAGTTGATGTCTATAAATGCTTAACTATCACCGTCTTCGTTGGATCGACACCACACCATCAACCCGCGATTGCATCACTTCTGCTTCACTCTCCCCACCAGACACCTGGCTACCTCAACCATCAGCGATTTAATTGTCCCCCTCATCGTCGATCTTCTCTACATCCTTGCTCGCCACTATCGCACGACCACCAACTTGTGGAACAATAGTTAGCGCTTATCATCTTTGGACCAAAATCCCCCGTATCCATGCTCGCCGCCGCTCTCGATCTAATGGCTCGTCGATTCTTTCCGGGCCAGAATGCTGCCTTCGGACTGAGTGTCTTCCTCTTTACTTTTATGTTTTTGCCTACATTGGTCGTCTTGCTCGCCGTGATTGTCTTCTTTCTTTTCTACTTTCCACGGTTTCGGAAGCCGATCCACGATTAAGGGACATTGCTTGTGGCTATACACTCAGCCCATCCGCCCCGTGGGATCGACATGCGATACGAAGTCCCGAGATAATAATAATGACTACTCAGACGCTGTTACTCGAGAGTGCTACCTCATCATAGAGGAGACAACCAATTGCGACCGTTAACATGGAGACGGGCACGACGACCAGATAAACTTCACCCATAAATGCCAACAGTCGACGTTGTTCGAGTCCTGGCTCGATCAGGGCCGGACTAGGTTCACTTTCATCGCCTATTAGTTATGCTGCACCAAGCTATGTGCACATTATCTGTGGGCATAACGGGCTTTACAAGATCGATCACTCGTTTGGATATGCAGACAGTTACCGT